AAGAAGAAAAAGTGAAATCCGGAACCTTTCTATCCCATCACAGCCCGCACATCCCAAACATATACGCTCTCATCCCACCCAACACTGGCACACCAGCCCTCACTTCCAAAAAGACACCAGTCAACCCCTGTCGCAAACTCCGTATGCCGGTTCATCCTGCCCAGCTCCGCACCCATAACCGGCGCCGGCCCCGATCGCATCAAGTCCATATCCCCGACAACCCCAGCCGGCGACTGGTCGCTCCAAGCGCGGCACGTCATATCATAACTCGCACTAAGCAGCACGTTCGACAGATGCGGCGACCAAGCAACCTTCTTCACCGCATAATCATGCCCAATCATAATAGCCTGCGGCCCCTGCTGCGGCGCCCGGATATCAAACGTGCGAATCGTCCGATCCACCCCGGCCACCGCAACCACCGACGGCCGATACTTGTTCCAGTCGTGCGTCAGCGCCTCGGACGGCGGACAAGCCGCCGGCGGGGCCCCCGGCTGGCCCGGGATGGGCGACACAGGTGCCGCATGGATGGGGATCTGCAGGGTGAGGTGGTTCGACGCCGAGGCCGGTGTGCGGAGATCGTAGAGCCGAAGGTACGAGTCTGACGAGACGCACGAGAGAATATCGGGCGAGTGCGGCGAGAAGGCGGCGGAGTAGGTGCAGCTGTGAGTGGGGAGGGTGACGAGGGAGTGTGGCCGCTGCGGGGACCAGATGCGCACGGTGCCGTCCCAGCTGGAGGAGCAGAAGGAGTCCTTGGCGACGAGGTTCCAGCTTACACTGAAGACCTCGCGATTGTGTTCTTTCCAGTTCTGGATGGGGAAGTCGTTTAGCGTGCAGTCGAAGAGCTTGATGCTGCCGTCGCCGGAGGCCGCGAGGACCTGGTGCTCGTTGATTTCGGACCAGGCGAGGTCGTAGAGGGAGTCTTGCGTTGTGAAGCTGGTGCGGTTGCGGTTAGTTTTCTCTCCTTGGAAAAATAAAAGGGAGGGGAAAAGAAAGAGGTGGGGGGTACAATTTGGCGGGCAGAATGCCGTTGGGGGTGAGCTCGAGGATGAAGAGGCGGCCATTGCCGACGAGGCCAAAATTCGCTGCCGACGCGACAGCTAGTCGGTTGTCGAAGAAGGGGGAGTATTTGACCGCGTAGCCATTGTAGCCCTCTGTGCGGAAATGCAGCATGTCGGAGGACTTTTTCCTTGGGAAGTTCTCTGAGGCTTGATGTTCAAGGACTTGGAGGAGAGAGGAACCGGAGCGAGAAAGGAAGATTGCGGGGAGGCCAGGTCCACTTCACAAGCCGAGGTTCCCTTCCACCCTGATGTCAGTGCAGTCCTCTACTTTACTGCATTACTTGACTTTCATAACTTCAAATCTTCAGAATAATAATATGCGATCACCTCTCACCCTAAAGTAGTGCAGAAAGCGAAGTTTGAATGGATCTTCGCAAGTTACAGTCTGGTAATATTCAAGCACTTGGGGGCCATCCGGTTTATTCTAACTTTCTGCTCCAAAATAAATATTCGGAGATACCTTATGGCCCTCTAGCTTCTGACGACGAGCTCTGGGCTGACAGGAAGTCCAAGCCATGCGATATGCGGAGATACCAGTCCCGGAAGCCTTTTAGAGGGTATTCGCAGGGCACACCATTCATAACTTGGCCGAAGCCTGTGACACTTGAATGTGGACTGTCACTTGCGGGCTCTAGCGATGAGTCGGGGAAACTGGGCAATGGATCACTGATATCCCTGTCGCTAGTGTCAAGACGCCCAACAGGACTAGCACCTGCGCTTAAGGACATAGGCTGTCTGTTGTCCACCAGGTATTCTGACGTTGCATGATGCCTTTCTTGTCCGTGTGTCTAGGCAGGATTGTGTTATGGTAGGTAGTTATGTACTTTCAGGATTTGGATTGCTTGATTTGATTGCTGTAAAAGCTTGGACACAGGATTAGAATCTGTTCACGGTGTATGAGCAAACCAGAAAGAAGTACTTACGGGTTCACTGCCCTCCTCTTGTTGGACATGAACCACGCATGGTGAGTATATATGTCACTGCCCGGGTCCCCATTCTCATCTGATAAGCTGAGGTTCGGGGATAAATTAGAAGTTCGATATGAACGTTGAGCCAGCTCCAGCCTGCAACCGCCAATATCCATACCTAGGCAGTAGTAGGATGTAGGCCCCAAGAGCAGAAGACAAGCGTCGTCTATCTCGGATTTGTTAACCGTCCTTCTTCACCTTTTGATGGAATAATGAAAGGAGAAGAAAAAAAGATAAGCAAAAATACGAAGAAACGGCCCGAACCGCGATTCGAACGCGGGACCTCCTCGATTTTCAAGTTTTACACAAGAGGGTTTTGCACTTGTCACCCGAACGAGGAATCATACCACTAGACCATCCGGGCAGTAGTTAGATATTATTTAAGCATGGATTGACTTAATAATAAGGAGGGGAAGTACCACGGAAAAATTCCGAAAAGATGACTTCGGCCCAGCCATCAAAAGGTCAAAAAAGTAGTTCAGGTGGGCCCGAACCGCGATTCGAACGCGGGACCTCCTCGATCTCCGAGTTTTGCACAAGGGGGTTTTCTTGTTGCCCGAACGAGGAATCATACCACTAGACCATCCGGGCAGTAGTTGAAAAAATTTTCACCCTTGGTCTATATATTCCAAGGTGGAAAAGTTGAGCCGAGTTGCAAGGGCCTGACTGGTTATATCAATAGCAAGGTTGCGCAGTTCCCCCACATGACCGACCTCGAGCTTGATGGTTTTCTCTCTTCACGGCTGGGAAACCATGGTGTTACAGGGAACTTGAAAGCTCATTTACCATCCAATCTGGCTCATTATGTCACTCTGGAAATCCCCTTCCCATGGACCGCTTCCTCTCGCGCAAGAGACCTCGCAGTCCACCCGCCGCCACCCAAGGAGCGGATTCTGATAATGAGGAGGCCTCAACGGACATCAAGCTAGCACAGCTCGTGTCCCTCTTCGCCGAGACACCGCAAGAGACGCTCCTCGACATCCTCGTCTCGTGCGGCGGCTCGGTAGAGGCAGCAATTGCCACATTAACCGAGCAGCAGCGACATCACCTCTCATCCGCAAAACGGCCCCGGGCAACGACAACAACAACAACCACAACCTCGCCAGCAATCCAAACGTCACTGACTGCTCACATCCTCCGTCCAGCAAGCGCCCAGCAAGCCGATCAAAAATCCAAGAAACCAAAACCGAGCCCCGTCCAAAAGGGCAAGACGCTCTACCTCTACAGCCCGGAAGACATCTCAACCTACACCCCCTGCACAATCATCCACAACTTCCTCCCCGCCGAGCAAGCCAACGCGCTCCTGCGCGAACTCCTTGACGAATCGCAATACTTCTCCCGCTACCAGCTGCAGCTGTTCGAGCGCACCGTCGAATCCCCGCACTCCACCTGCGTCTACGTCTCCACGCCCGAAGAGCTCGCCCTGCACTCGAACGACTACACCTACGGCGGCACCTACCACACCAACATCCGACAGGCGACGCCTCATCTCCGCGCGATCGCCCCGCGTGTGCAGCGCGCCGTGAATGACGAAATCCAGAACCGCATCCGCGCCGCCGGCAGGAAGCTCAAGTTCCAGTCTCCGCGGGAGTGGGTTCCCAATGCGGCGTTTGTAAATTGCTACGATGGGCCTGCGGAGAGCGTCGGGTATCACACAGACCATCTGACGTCTCTTGGTCCGCGCCCCGTCATCGGGAGTCTGAGTTTGGGTGTTCAGCGGGAATTCCGGGTGCGGCGGATCGTCCCGGATGACGATGAGGGAGAAGATGGGGAGAGGAATGGGGCGGGAGGACGACAGGCTCACTCTCAGGGGCAGATCTCGATAGCTTTGCCGCATAATTCGCTTTTGGTCATGCATGCGGAGACGCAGGAGGAGTGGAAGCATTCGATTGCGCCTGCGCAGACCATCTCTCCACATCCGGTGGCTGGTAACCGTCGGATCAATATCACCTATCGCTGGTACCGAGAATCTCTTCATCCGCGGAACATACCGCGTTGTCGCTGCAACGCTCATGCGGTCCTGAAATGCGTCCAACGAAAGCGTGACACCAAGGGTCGCTACATGTGGGTATGCTATATGGGGTATAAGCCAGGAAAAAAAGGTTGCGGTTTCTTTCAATGGGCTGAGTTCGACGAAGATGGCGAGCCGCTTTGGAAACTACCTCAACCCGAGGAGGCTGAAAACGTTCCGAAGCTGACCAATTTTGCTGACTACCTACCATAGTAGCGATATTGTATACAACCCCGCAACTAGACTCCCATTGGACGCAGGTTAATCTATATACACGTATGGCTGAAAACATCCGTTGCCTGGCTGCAAAGGTGCAGAAACACATCTCGATCATAGCAGCAAGCCCAGGAAGAAGGAGCATTATAGCCCTATCGTGCACATTCCGTCCGACTGCCGATCTCTAGGAGCTGTGAAGTAGAACTGCATTTGACGTGTCGTGAATCCGATCAATATGATAGCCAAGTATCTATACGAAGCGTAGCGGCTAACTCTCATAAATCCAATATCAGATATCGTTAATCATTGACCATGAGCCTGGCTGCAAGCGTCAGTCCAGTGCGACCGATCCGAACATTTAAATCGCTGGACATACCAGCTACGCAAATCTAGCCAACTGGGAGCGTCTGCTTGAGTTCTCTCGCCTGAACTTATGTGCCGTACCAACAGTCGTCTTCATAGCTCGCCCTTGTAGAGGCCATGACCGCTCGATGTTGACGCGTAGCCCAGGAGATCATGACTATGACCCGAATCGGTCAGCATTCATGAATCGAATCTAGATCCTGATATACCAACAGTCTTCGTAGACCCGTGGGAACAACTTTGCTAGGAACCAAGGAAACAGAGAGCCTTGATTCAAACCTCCACCATTCCCTCGTTAATTTGTGGAGAAACCCGGCTGGGTCTGTCGACCTGCGCAGCGCCGCAGGGCTCGTCCGGATTGATCGGCTTAAGACCCCTTTTCACGGTACGTAGTCGTCGTTTAATCCAAGGTGTGACGAGGGTAAAACGGCCCGAGCTCCAGAACTCCGCACATCCCAGGGCCAAGGCGAATGCGCAGCAGACGAGAATGATCGGCACCAAGACCAAAGCGACGACGATAATTGCTGTTTTCTGCCTAGGATTCATGACGATACCGATACGGTGTAATCCAATACTGCCATGCACTAAGACACGATGGAAAGGAACTCAGACGGGTATTCGATGGTGGCCAGAGTCGTTCACAGGCTGTGTCCTGCGTCTTGATATTGTTGGCCTTGGATCGTTCCTTCCGGGTTAGTCAATGCCTTTAGAAAGGACTCTCCAAAGCGGAAATGACCAAAAATTGAACCACGACAGGCTCGTCATGCTGGTTCGGAAATGCATATGCACCTCCAGCTAATCCGACACCTCCATAGGCGGAATGATCATCTGCTTGATGGATGCTAACGTGTCTTGGTCGAGTCGACTGAAGCGAATCTGCACATCATTGTTAGCTTTTCGGTGGTAGGAAGGCCACGCTAAAAATCATCATGAAGTACCATTTCGTCTGCCCCCGCGCGTGCAGAGCTTCCAAACAGAGTAGCATCCGACCGACTAGCCTCGATCTCATATTGCACCCGCTTCATCCAAATCCCCTCCCAGTTCCAGTCACCCGGAAGTCGCGCCTGCGGCTTGTCACGTTTCGAATCACTCGACATGGTGAGGGCGTCGCTGTCTTTCCGGTGGGCTTTCCAGGCGTGCCACGCGCTCGGGTTGCCTGCTGCTTCGAACGGTATCGAGTCTAGGACGGCCTCGTCGTCAAACGACGTGCGGATATAATCCAGGATTTCTAGTGCCGGGATGTAAGTCCTCGATTTGGGGGGAACCTCTGCCGGAGGAATGGCGTCCCTCTCACTCCCTTCACGCGGTTGGGATTCTGTTTGGACTGATGTAGGTTCTTCCTTGGTATTTGTCGCTTCGGTATCGCCGACATTTGAACGATCCGTGCTAATGGCCCTCGATCCAGGAACTGATCCAACGTTGCTGCGTCTTGCCCGGCCGAACCAATGTGGGAATGCGTGTCGAAGACTATATCCGCCCGGGGGTAATCGTTCCTCATCCGTTGCGCTGACTGGATCTTCGTTTGACACGCCGGTGCTGAAGGTATACGTCGTGAGGGGTACAATCAGAGGATGGAATACGTCCGTGGTGAAGATCACTAATGGTGGTCGATCGGGGTAGGTCGGAGGAAAGCGTATCTGAAATCGAAGGATGGCAGAAGCATATGGACCTGAGATATCGTTAGCTTTGTCCACTCTGAAATGTATTTGATGCCTACCGGAGCGAACAAAAATGACACCGGTCCAGAGAGTCGGATCGCCAGGGCTGAGGCTCACATAAACTCCCGGGGGTGCTGCATGCCTTAGGCTTGCACTGGTGCACGATCAGCAATTGAGCAGTCCATTTTGCAATTTGCGTGCTCACTATTCCTGGAGGAGCTGGTATCTTCGAAGAGATGGGATGTTAGGCAACCGAGTCGTTGACATGTTGCCGACTGAGGATTTTCGAACGGTTGACGTGAGTTGGGGATGATTTCAGGCGATCTCAGGAGAAGCGCCGTTGATACCGTGGATCTTGGCAGCGGGGCCATCCTTACTACCTACTATACCGGTAATTATAGAGCACATCTTATCAAGCAACAAAATCATCAAGCATTATTCCTCATACTGCGTATCCAAGTCTAGAGTTACTATCTAAGCTTCTTTCCTCCTGTTATCGGGCGGCCGCTCCAAATACGTATCAGGCACTGCAAATCCAAGAATCACCATGCCTTCCCCGACACCCTCACAGATCCCCCCAGCGATTCCTTCAATCCACCATGATGCGGCGCTCGAAGCAGCCTTGCGTGGTTTCCCATCACACGTGTTCAGGACCGTAGACCCAAAGTTCACGCTACCTTGACTGACCCGCTCGGCAATATACAGAGTGAGACCCGTCATCCGCTCTGTAAGCCTGCGAGACCGTTCATACTTATACAGGTGCAAGAAAGCACCCTTGATAAACGGCATGACGAATTGCAGCAACAGACAGAAGTAAACGATGGTCGAGGCTAACAAGCGATGAATATGAGAGCGCCGAGGGTACGGGTCCGCTGACCCGGCTGGACTCCTCGTCGATTTCACTTTCTCAGGCAAACTAGTACGGAGCGTTGCGGCTTCTTCGCTCGTCAGATCTTCCGGCAGAGCGGAGACAAGGTATGATACGGCATTGAGATACAGTGCTCGGACTAGACGGCTCTCGCACCGAGGTTGCTGAGCTTCATAGCAGGCATGACGGAGGAGATTGAGCGCTGGAAACGATTAGTTTGGGTCTGACTGCAGTATGAAAGGAATAAA